GAATATTCTCATGTACTCGGATATTATATTTGAATATTTTCTAATTTGGATGTGGAATAGTTTACCAGGAACGCACATGCACGAGTATTATGATTATAAATCCCGTTTAACCGTTCACAGTTAGGATTGTAATACTTTTTTCAACAAAAATAAAAATAAAATATTGCATTTTTATGCTCTTTTTTACAGTATGAAATTTGAGTTAGAAGTATGCAGCCATATCTGATGACAACTCATAAGTGCCTAACCGTGTTAGATCTGCCAAACACCAGATTTACCTATTCAACAAATAGGGTATATTGGTCATTGCTTGCTCCAATTTTCAACAAACAAAAGGACCACACAATTGCAATGGAATTGTTCCATGAAGCAGAGAGATTATTTTCCTTCTGTTTTTATGTATAACCCATTTTGTGCAATATAATCAATCACTTCATCAGCTGTCAAATACTTCACTGACAATCCTCTTGAAATGCAGTCTCTGTAAATGGAGAATTGGAAGATCTGTTAGATTCCTTCAAAATTTTCACTTCTAATCAAATTCAGATCATTTGCAAATTGCATTACTTCATGAACAAAGAAAAATATCAAAATTTCATTTTCTTTTTTCTTTTCTACCTCAGCCCGGTTGAACTGATGCCGTTTGGTACCACTTCATCAACGATTATGATATTATCCTGCATGAGAATGATGTAAAAAATCCTTAGATATAAAACTATAAAACAAGAATCAGTGTTGATATAAAATAAAAATGGAGAATATTAACTCTTATTTGTGGATTACCTTGTACTCGATCAAAATATCATCCTTAGATATGATATTCTCAACATCTTGGCCATCTCTCCGTATGCAAATCAACCCAAAGTCTCGACAAATGGTCCTAACCTAAAAGAGGTATTGAAATTTGAAACATGCATGATCATGCACAGCCCGAGTTGAATATCAAACCTCAAATTATCACGTGCATTCGATTTGAAACAATGTGGTTACTTAAATATGTTTTGATCTTTATAAAGCTCGAAAAGGGCACCAGTAAAATATTTCCATTACAAAGGTCCATGTCTTGGAAATTATTTAATTTCTTTCCCTTGAAAAGAGTAATACAAATATGCTCAATTATGCATGGAGTTGAATTTTGTTGTTACCTGGTCACGGATCCAAAATCCAGGAATACCGAAAGATTTTAACAGATCAGAACCACAGACGAGCAAGACTTTAAGCGACTCTACAATTAAGAAAAATAACGAAGAAAAAGAAATATCATTTCCTCGTTTCTTATTGAACTCCCAAAAAATTAATAAGATTAGTGATTCCCATCCAACTAATAAAATAAACAATGATTAATGACATCATAATCAGTTATTATGAGTTGCTTCGAAACTTACCACTGGATACAATTTTACTCTTGCGTAATGATTCCCCAACTCTAGACAACACCGTTAACGTGCGTTGGTAGGAGCTTTGACTTGCCTGTTGCAATATAAACTTATCTAATAGCCAAAATCAACCCCAAAATAGCTACAAAAAGTTTGGATACTCAAACTACAGAAATTTGGATGTTCAAAATTTTGGATGCGTGCGCGTGCGTGGCGATTCCATGTGAGTGTGTGTGTGTGTGTGTGTGAGAAAGAGAGAGAGAGAGAGACAGACCTCCCATGGATCTACCATCACAAAATCGGAACTTTTACAAGCAAGACTACACATTTTGACACGATGTTCAGCCTGTATGAGACCCTGCAAACATAGGCAGTAAATATATAGCCTTTTCATCAACCATAAAATTATTAACTTCCATTTAGAACCATTAATGATGAATCTTAGGAACAAAATCTCAATCTCACAATTTTGACTAACATGGCATGTTTTAATAATGACGACTTGTAACTAGAAATCCGAGTACCGTGTTAAAATAGGTCGAATAAGAAAAAGCACATTTTGCTGCAACTATATAATTTGAAAAAATCCAAACAGCCTTCTACAGTTCCTATCACTTTGATTGAAATTCTTGAAGCACTTGAGTGAATAATTACTTACATCGCACTTGGAATGTTCACAATATGCTCGATAGTATGAACGAATATAAATACACAATTATATGGCTAGCTCAGGGAACACTAAATACCTTTTTCTTGTATGCATCATTTACAGGTGACATATAACCCCCAATGACACAAAAGCCTTTTGAAATTAGGTAATCTCTTGCCAACTCTGACCATCAAAACAAAACCAACAT